TAAGTGACTGTTTTTGATGCCGCTGAAGCGCGCAGAAATAAATATACGCTCCGTTATATATCGTCCATTAAATTACCAGAGAGCACAATTCACACACGTCATCCATCTTGATCAGCCGTGGTCAAAAGCGGGGTCCAGGGACCTGAGGGGGGGGGGGCATCTGATCCTGTTAGACGAGGTCCCAGTGGAAGTAAAGACGAATTTATTTAATATTTAAGAAGCTGGAGACGTTTAGAAAAACTTAACTTTGAACTTTGAAAATTAATCAAGTTTCAAATCTGATTCTTTTCCTGTTCCAGCAACTCAAACAGAGTCTGACTTTACAGTTAGGAGTCGAACACCCAATCCTCCAGCTTGAGGCTAATAAATGCTAATAAATGCTAATAAATGCTAATAAATGCTAAGTGTCAGCAGGTGCATTTCCATGAACCTGCTCAATGCACAATTTGAAATTTCAAACTTAAAAAGGAGTGAATTTACTCTAAACTTTAAACGCTCGCATGAGGTGGTTTTTCTACAGGTGTTTTGTGAAAAATAGAATCGATATTGTTAGAAAAGTCAACAAAACACAACTGTGACTGTTCTGTGTTTCTATTGACTGATGTTACGTTTTCTCCTCTCGTTTTTTAAGTTCGCAAATTCAAATCAAGCAGGTTCATGGAAACGCACCTTCAGTCACAAACAATTAAGAATCAAAGATTTTCCAAAAAGATAAAAACGACTCAAGTAAAAGGACGAATACACTGATCTTCAAATGAAAGGCTCGATACTGAAGAATAAAGTCATGCAAAGTAACTTACAGCTCCACATTTTCTTCTTCTTCTGTGTTTTATTTAAAGTGTTGATCCATAAGAAGATATAAAACATTACATCTCCTCTCTCAGGCTTCTCTCTGGAGCTCTAGTGACAACAGGTCTGTGAGCCAATCAGAAGAGAGGAGGCTCTGAGCCTCTCTGGACCGAGTGCTTTGAAAATATATATATATATATATATAATACATAATAAATATATTGATCGTGAAGCTCTTATTCAGCGTCTTCAGGTACGAAAACACCTTTATAAAACCTGAGGAAATAAGCGAACGGTTTATTTCCACCTTCAGAGAGACGTCGTCCGTCTCCGTCGCGCTGGTCAGTAAATAAAAACAGTCTCTTCCAACTTTCACTGATATTGTCTCATTTTATTGGTTTTTTTTGCATTGAGTAAACATCTGAGTCGATGCAGCAACATCTGTCAACATCTGTCCGTCTGAACAGTTCATTAAAAACACAACAAACGGGTACGATTCAGTTCGTCTCCACTGTGAGCGTCGCCACGGTGATGATGGCCGTCAAGCTCCTCCCCCTCGTCCTGAGGGCGTGGTTATGGTGAAGACACTTGTAATAAAAATAATAAACTGCATTTCAAAAACAATCAACCGCACAGACTGAACACTGATTATCTGAAGAAGAACCGCACGAGGAAAACATTTATTTTACACATCTGAACTTTACGAATAAATTCAGAGAAAGTTTCTTGTAAAAACAAAAAAACTGTAATTTTCTTTTAGTAATTATAAGAAAATAGAGAAATGTTCTGTGATTTATTATTAGATGTTGAATTTTCTAAAAACAAAAACATTTTCCTTCTATTTTGTCACGTCCAGATGAAGCTGTGCACGACTAATTAATCAACTGAACATTGTTTAGTTTTTATCTAAATTACAAAGTTCTTTACAGGAAACATCCTCAGAAACTACTAGAAGAAATTCAGACCTACAAAATAAAGTGTTACCAAAGTAAAGGCCAAATGAGGCCGTTGTTTAAGTGTTTTCTGTTGCTGAAGAACAAACTCCTTCCATGTTTCCAAAGTGCTTACTGGAGTCACTGGAATTTAAGTCGGTACCAGTCGGTACCAGTCGCTCACATCAGCTGGGAGTGAAGTGGAAGACTTAGAAACAACAGAGAGGTTTGGAGCCACTACAGACTTACACTCAATGGCCAAAAGTATGCGTACGACTTGGTTTCCATACTTCCAAAAGAAATCATCACTTTCAATCACAGTAACACTGAGAACATGGAGCTGCAGCTGGCGGGACAATCTGATCTGAGTCATCTCTACACAGCGCAGTCGGCAAAGACCTCTCCGATAACGTCAGAGTAATCTCACCAACTGATTTCTGACAGCAGCCATGTTGGAGAACACACCTGCTGCCCACAGTGTCTCCCAGGAACCGGGACGTCCAGCAGTGCGAGGGTTAAATAATCAGGTCAACTCACTCAAACTAAACGTCCAACCGACAGCTGATTGTAAAAGTAGGCGACCAATCCAGGGTTTAATGTGAACAGCGTTTGTGTTTGTCCCCGTTTCAACATGAAGCACAAAACCAGCTCCACTCAGAAAAGGTTCGACGTTCAACTGAGCTTCAGGTGGAGGCGGGATGTTCAAGCGTCCACATACTTTTGACCGAGTACTGTATCTGTGCTGAGACACACGAAGACGAAACTGATTAAAAAAAGAAGACGCTAAAATTTCGGACTGTTCCTTTAACAAATCAGGATCAGTGGAGACAGTAAACCCTCCGGAACCAGAACCAGAACCAGAACCAGAACCAAAACCTACTGAAGGTGAACTGGAACCAGGTCTCACTGAGCCAAACTCCAGGTTCATGAACGCACCACGGACAGGAACGTGAAAGAAAGACTGATGTCAAAGTTTGACAAGTTTGGATTGGAGACATCCTGCTGCGTCAGACCAGTAACAGACCAGTAACAGACCAGTAACTGACCAGTAACTGACCAGTAACAGACCAGTAACTGACCAGTAACAGACCAGTAACTGACCAGTAACTGACCAGTAACAGACCAGTAACTGACCAGTAACTGACCAGTAACTGACCAGTAACTGACCAGTAACAGGGTTTGTATGAACATGAACGTGCGTCAGAAACAGACGTGATCCAGAGCCGAGGCTGTAATCTGTGTTTTCACCTCACACACACATTAAAAGTAAAAGTGGAGGCAGGAGGAGGTTCCCGCCTCATTAGTGGTGAAACTCAACGAGCTGCTGTGAGATTCAGTGTCGTTTCCTTCCAGTCTTTGGTTTTTAAACACGTCACAGAGGTCGGTCCTGAACGATCAAATCATCGTATCAAACTCTTAAAGAGACAGAAAATGTCTGAAGCATTTGAATCCGACGCTCTGGACCACAGAGGCGCCGCCAGGCCGCGCCGCCAGGCCACGCCTCCCTCGTGCTGGACGGGGACCTGTTCTTGTTGGCTCTGTTCAGCCTGTGTGCTGGGAGCTGTAATGAGAGCTGCAGCCTCTTGGGGGAGCTAGTGAGTCTTTGCAGATAAGAGCAGCTGTTTCAAACTGATAAAAAGGTATTGATTATAACTGATTGCCTGTTGTTTGTGAACCTAAAATGATCAGGATGTCTCAGTAAGAGGTGAATTTAATACTTTTTTTAATCTGGTTTTACTTTGTATTTTTAATATCTGTTGTCACTCAGAGACTGAGAGTCTGGGGCCGGTCGCTCAAAACAGTTTCCTCAAAATAAAAACAGTTTTCTCCTTAAGTTTCTCTGATAAGTTCACCTCAGTATTGAAGGTTTCCTCCTCGTCTGACAGTCAGGAGTCACTTACAGGAATTGATTTCTGCTCTATAGATCTGATCAGCTGTCAGTTTCTGATTCGTGATCACTCCACCTTCCTTTCTTCTGGCCGACTCACAGGTGAGACGTTCACAGGCGTCACAGCTGCTAATGGCATCAAACAAACGGTCTCCACGGAAACAGTAGGATTTTACAGCTGTGAAATCTCTTCCACTGCTGTAAATTTCTTTTTTCCTGAACTAAGAAAACCTTTGAAGAGATTCTGTGCAGCTCGCTCGGCTGAGGAGACATTAACTCTTAAGTGTCGGTGTGTTTCGTGGACCGGCCCGATGAAAGCTTCAGATTTCAGCCTCAGTCTCGTGTTTCAGGCTTTAAGATCAGAATCTCGTGAACGCCGTAGAAGTCCTCAAACTGAAACGTGTCTGTCAGCTGACGGGCCCGTGTGTCGGCCGCTGCAGAAGGTGCTTCCTGTGACCTCCGTCTCCGACACGCCGCACAGCTAACGTCTACTTCATGCCAAAAATACTGCATAGATAATACCATGGAGATAAAAATAAAAAATCGTGTGGAATATAATGTAAAAAACAAACAGAAAATTAAATACTACTACAGTATATATACAGTGGTTTTAGAAGTACTTGTTGTGCTGGTGCACGTTGACCACGTGCATGATTATAACCACAGTTTTTAAAAATGTCAAAATCATATAACTGTGTGCATAAACATAAATACTAATAACTCATAAGTTCATCTGTAGTGTGGTTCAGAGTACAGTAACAGAGGAACAGAAACCTTGTATCTCCACACACTGATGAGGTTTTGACACTTGTTTTGTTTTGGTTACTGAACTGAACTCTGGGAATGTTTTAGAATCAGACACAAACTCATCGTGACGCCGCCGCAGCTGCACGATCAACTGTGTGATGGAGATGTGAGGTTTCTGCAGGACGCCGATTAACACACAAACAACCTTCATCCAGTCCGTCAATAAAAACAAATCCTTCCGCCTCCACAGGTTCTTCTTCTTCTTCTTCTTCTTCGCTGTGCAGTGACAAAATAAGAGCCTTCACTTCCTGTCTGTCAAGAGTCAAACATCCGAGGCAAAGACCATGAGAAACTTTGTACTAAACACGTATGAAAACCACAGAAGAAGAAAAGAGGTGAGAGGAAATCCAGCTGTTCGTCACGGAGGTTAAACGTGTGTTTGGAGTGTGAAGCTTCGACTGAACATGATTCTGTTTGAAGTTCATTATTTAAAATCTAACTAGTGTTTATGTGGCGGTGATGTGAGGACAGATGTGGATCGACACATCTGGACGATCAGTTAAGAACAAACATGTGGCGTGGGGGGGGGGGGGTGCTGGCGGGACGACAGGTCGTAAACACTCTGTTTACGAGACCCGCTCGGCTTGTAATCAGCTGATGTGACTGTATCCAAAACAAACACGAGCGTCAGCGTTTCCACCTCGACGCAAAAACACTGAAGCTGAAGAGACAAAAAAACCTTCAGTCTCATTGATCTGAAATCACGCGGGATTTCATCACTTGAAGTTTTATTCTGTCTTTTATCGCTTCTTTTAGTTTTCGTGTCGTGATGCGACGCATTTTCATTTCATATTCAAATGTATTTGTGTCGTGTTTTAATGACACTGTGAATTATATTAAATCATGTTTTTAAATATATTAATCTTCACGTCGCCTGATGGAGAGAGTTTGTCTTCGGGTTCGGACTCGTTGGAAACACTTTGTGACGCTGGTGAAACAGATATTTCTGACGTCTCCCGTGTACGACCTGTTGCTATGACGCCGACAGGAAGTGGTTCGACTTTAAACACACGACGTATTTAAATCAGGTGACTGGCGATAAATTTCCCATGATCCCTGCCTCTTGCTGCTCGCTCTCTGCCCGTCAGGAGGCACTGGGGTGGTTAGACGTTACTGGTTTTGCTCTTGCTCTTGGCCCCCCCCGGGCTGCTCTTACTCTCCGACTTCCTGCCAGGTGAGTTCTGACAGGTGGGCAGTTTGACAGCAGAGCCCGATGGACCGCCCCCACCCCCGCCGCCGCCGCCACTGTTGTTGTTGTTGTTGTTGTGATTTGTGTTTCCGCTCAGCGTCTCCATGATGGAGCGGAACGTCCCAAACGGACGCTTGCTTTCCGAGCTTCCTGTTGGAGTCCTCTCCTTCCCATGATGCCCTTTGGTTGGCTCCGCCTCCTGACTGGAGCTCTTGTGGACCTGCTCGTCAAAGGTGACCCTCAGTTTGAGGTTCTGGGACGTCTTCCTGCGAGACGACGGGGACTTCAGGGCGCTCTTGGGGCTGGTGGCGACCTTCTGGCCGTTGGCGGCGTCGTGGAGGTCGCTGGAAGCATCTGGCGTTTTGCCGTCTGCGGCCTCGGGGTCGCTGGAGGTGGGGGAGGGGTTATAACCGACGCTGTCGACCGACTTGGAGCCACTAACAGAAAACGCCTGCTTCCTCTCAGCTGAGGAAGAGGAGGAGGAGGAGGCGGGGAGGTGCTTTCTCATCATCAAATGGAGGTGGTTCGACACCGGATCCTCCTCTGTGATTGGCAGGTGGGACGGCCTATCAGGTCGCAGAGTGTTTGAGGGCGGGGCTCCTTGGTTCTTTCCTTCCTCTGGCGGGTAACCGTCTGAATCCGACTCGCTGAGGGAGCGCTGCATGATCTGCTTGAGTCTCGCCAGTTTGAGCTCTCTCCTCTCCACCAGCCCCGTCCTGCGGCCCCCGGGGGCCCCGGCGCCGCAGGGGCCCTCTCTGCTCAGGCCGCCCGACAGAGGCAGCCTCTCCCTGGGACACAGCGTCTCCGGCACGTCCTTCCCCAGCAGCTGCCTGAGCACAGAGTCCTGACCCACCCCTCCCTGACGGACCAGCCAGTGACCGTCACCCGGAGTCCCCTCCGCCGTCAGCATCATCTCTGGCCACGCCTCCACTGAGGGCTGATGGGAGCTGGAGTCCAGAGAGGGAGACAGAAGGTGTTCCTTTACTCTTACATCGTTTTAACGTGTATGTTAATTATCACACACACACCCTCCCTCCCTGTGTGTGTGTGTGTGTGTGTGTGTGTGTGTGTGTGTGTGTGTGTGTTGCCTGGGAGAGCGGGAAGGCGTCCCCTCGGCCTTGTTGGGCTCCATGACTCTCTGCAGTTGTTTCTGTAGAGCCATCCTCTCTGTTGCCTGTCTGCACGACACACACACAGACACAAGGTGTCAAGGTGAAGAAAACAAACGCACAAACCTGCTTCACTTCCGAGAGACGACGAATCAGAGCATCAGAACATCAAACAACCGACACCCGCAGAGTTAAAGTTCTCCGGGGGGGAGTCAGGGGGTGCGACAGAGACGGACAGTAACTACAATCACCGCCTCACCGCTGTATCCCTCCGCCAACCAGGAAGTACGGTCACTCTCTTTCCTTCCTGAGTCACAGAGCTGATTAATGGCCAGAGGTGTTTTTACAGAACATTATGATGTCACAGTGAGGTTGACCTTTGACCTTCATCATTTTATCCTGATAGACAAGTTAAAGTTAAATTGTGAGTTATGACCATAAAGATGTTTTGTGAGGTCACAGTGACCTTGACCTTTGACCTTTGACCTTCCGACCAGCACAAGAAGAACCCAAACCCAACTGTTTGGTAAAGATGTGAAGAGGAGAGAAGCTGCTGCAGGAAACTGTGTTTCAGACTCTGAACATATTGATAACATTAACTCCTTTAATTAAAAACAATAAAAGTGTTTAAACTGGAAACAGTTTGAATCAATAGAATCAATAATTCAATCAACATTTTAAAAACATCTGTAACATCTGTAACAACAGTCATGGTGACGCAGACTGTAACTACAACAGTAAAAACATTGTAACTTACTCATTCAGCTGCTTGGTGAGTTTAACGACCTGCGAGGCCAAAGACATGCAGGTTTCCACGACGACCAGGTAACGAGCGCAGGTGGTGTGTCCCTGCCGCTCGGCACTCTGGGAAGGCCGCTCGCCCTGCTGGTTCTGGACCGTCACGTTAGAGCCGTACTCCACCAGAGTCTGAACACACACACACACACACACGCTAACGTTATTATATCCCACACACACACGCACACACACACACACACACACACAGTGCAGGTCTGCTTGGCTCTGCTGAAGTAAAAGCAGATCATTAACCATCAGTATTTGGACTGTGGGACTGGCTCGCCAACAGGAAGCAGACAGGACTGATAACATCCGCCTCTCCTGCAGCGGGGGGGTGTGTGTGTGTGTGTGTGTGTGTGTGTGTGTGGAAAACACTCTGCAGGGAAACAAGCTTCAGAGGGTGAAACTCAGTTTTAGAAGAAGTGGATGTTTTGTCTTGGTAAGTCGGAGCAGAGAAAGTGAAAGCAGCAGAACACCATCGTCGCCGAGACGATTCACAGACGTCGACCCCTCAGGGGACTAAAGGTCACTAAAGGTCACGGGATATTTTATTTCTAATCTTCATTTTTTCTTACAATAATCATTTGTAGTTTATCATTTTCACAATATACAAAACTTAAACATTTACTTTAATCACAGATGACAGAACTTTAAACTAAAATATATGAAAACAGCAACGACTTTACCAACTACAGAACAGCTGACGTTAGTTTCATGAGCTGGAAACGTCTTTAAACTCCTGATTCAGAAGAACAGAGAAGAAAAGAGAAGAAGAATATAAGAAGAAAGAAGTGATAAAAAATCTGCATGTCGGATGGTGTTACCACGGTAACAGCAGGTTGCTGAGGCGAAGTGACGGAGGGATGGTTAGGCGGATACCGTACGTACCTGTATGCAGGTGAGGTGTCCGTACTGAGCCGCCACGTGCACGGCCGTGTTTCCGTGCTGGTCGACCTCGTCCAGAGAGATCGCCTGTTCCTGCATGAACTGAAGCAGCCACAGCAACACCTTCTCCTGCACACACACACACACACACACACACACACACACACACACACACACACACAGAGTTTACATTTGCTTTGAATCACATGATGAAACGTGACAGGAACACATCAGCTGCTCTCATTTAAAGACTTCCCTTCTCAGGGACTTGTGGACTTGTTCATGTATATGTGTGTGTGTGTGTGTGTGTGTGTGTGTGTGTGTGTGTGTGTGTGTGTGTTACCTGTCCGTAGCGGGCTGCGTAGTGGATCAGACTGGGATGTTCTCTGGTGCAGCTCAGCTCTGCGATGGCCTCCGTTTCACTCACCATCCACCTCACACACTCCAGATGACCGTTCTGAAACACACACACACGCACACACACACGCACACACACACACACACACACACACACAGTTGTAAATCAGTCATCCTGTTAATCTGCGTGACTAAACAACAGTCCTGTTGATAAAAGCCAATCAGGAATCAGCACACAGCTGCCCAGCTTGTCTCGAGATAACACACTTCCTGTCTGGCAGCCAATCAAGAGCCTGGTTTCCACTGCAGGGCAGAGAAAACAGGAGCTGATACACAGGTTTACATCAGTTTATCAGATGTATGACATCACTGAGCAGCTGCCAGCGGCCAATCAGAGGGCTGCATTTCCTCGTGAAGCAGATTTCTGAACAAAGACGTCGAGCAGCAGCTCAGCTTATTATTTTTATTTTATCAATGATTCTTTGAGACGTTTTAAACTTGTAAACACACACACACACACACACACACACACACACACACACACACACACACACACACACACACACACACACACCTTGACCCCCAGGCCTGCGGGGGTGAGCTGCTGGTTGTTGCGCTCGTTGAGGCCGTCCTCCCCCATCAGAGAGGTGAGGTGCTGCAGACAGTCGGCGTGACCCTGACAGGCCGAGATGTGCAGCAGGTTGTTCCTGTCCTCGTCTCTGATCAGCTCCAGGTTGTCTGCTGCCAGGTGAGGCTGGAGGAGGGGGAGGAGTGAAGAGGGACAAACAGGAAGAGAAGGATGAGCAAGTAGAGGAAGGAGGTGAGGAGTAGGGAGAGAAGGAAGAAGTGGAGCAGTACAGGTAGAAGAGTAGAGGAAGGAGGTGAGGAAGAGGAGGAGAAGCAGGAGGAGGAGAAAAAGGAAAAGGAGCAAGGAGAAAGATGTGTTGAAAGGAGAGGAGGAGGAGCAGCAAGAAGACAGGAAAGAAAAGGGTGGATGAAAAACAAGAGAAACGGAGTCGGAGGAGGAGAAGGAGGATAAAACATCACATGTGGTTCTGCTCTTTGATTGGTCAGTGTTTCAGCGTGGCCCCTCCCCCACTCACCAGCAGGGAGATCTGTCCCTCTCTCACGATGTTGATGATGTTCTGGTTCTTCTTCGTCTCCTCATCCACCTCCGCTCCTGCTCCTCCACCTCCTCCGAACCCCCTCGGCCCCCCGCCTCCTCCTGCACCTCCTCCTCCTCCTCCTCCTCCTCCTCCTCCTCCCGGTCCGGCAGCCCAGGGCTTGGAGCCGTCCTGCCTGCTCACGCTGCACCCCGGCAGGGAGAACATCAGCCCCGGGCCCCCGGCAGCCTCCACACCCGGCCTCTGGGCCTGGGAGTCTGGGTAGACCCGCGCCGACAGCAGCTTGTCTGGAAGTCACATGACATCACATCACGCCGTCATATTTACTCCTGTTCATCAAGAGAGGATGAGAAAAGAGAGGAAGCAGCGGTGACACACCTGCGTCGGAGAAAGACGAGAGGGAGGACGAGCAGCTGAGGAGTCCGGAGGAGAGCAGCTCCGGCTGGTAACCTCCTCCTGCCGGGGAGCGGTGCAGGTGGTGGAGGTCCGGGTCCATCGACTTGGACTTCCTCAGGTCCGACCACTTCACCGGAGACAGGACACAGTACTGCACAACACGCATGACGACACAGATGTTTTAATTAAAGACACAACACATCACAGCTGATTAAAGCATTCATTCATAAAGTTCATACTTGACACAGAAGCCCAAAGAAATACTGCGTGCTGATTGGCTAAAGGTCAAACAGTTAAATACTGCACATCTGGAGTAATTAAAAGCCTCTTTTCTTTCATGCTTTTATTCTGAAGGCCTTGCACAAGTTTCCTGTCACAGTTTCAAAGGGCTCTGTGTATGTTTGTATTAAAGACTGTGTTTTGTACCGGAGTCTGTGAGCTGCTGCTGCCCAGGCTCAGAGGCTCGTTGTGGGATAAAGCGGAGCTCTTCAGCCCTCCCCCACGGTTCCTCTCCAGGGTGCCCCCCCCCAGGTTGCTCCCCGTCACCGAGCGCTTGTCGTGGGGGACGCGAGGCAGCGTGGACATCTGCTGGCTGGACTTGATATAAGGCACGTCCAGGATCTCGTCCATGTCCAGGTCGTAGTGCTCCAGCTCCCCGAACAGAGCCTGAGGGTTGTTCCCTCCAACCACGCCGACGCCGCCCCCCAGGCCCTTCACCTTCCCCCCCGGCCCGTCCGAGGAGGTGGAGGAGGCGTGAGTCGGCTTGTCGGAGCCGGGGTCGTCTTTGCTGCCCTCCCCCGGCTCCCCCAGACCCGGCCCCTGACCCTGGAGCTTCCCATCAGAGTCTGAGTCGGTCGTCTCTGGCTGGTGTTTGAGAGGGGAGACCCTCTTCACCGGCCGGAACTTACTGTGGACCTCGGCGAGCCCCGTGGGTTTGATTCCCCCGCCACCATGGGAGGAAACGCCACGACTCCAGTTGATGGCTGGAGCTGCGGGAGGAGGAGAGACGGAGGGAGATCAGGACATCGGGCTCTGCACAGTTCTAGGTTCAGATGAGAGGAGGGTAAAAACAGTTCTATCTTCAGGATACTTCAGGTACCTGGTCTCTCCTCAGCCGGACCATCGCTCCTCCTCGACAGCTCTGGGATGCTCTTCAGAGACGTCACAGAATACTGCAGGACCAGAGCGAGACGCGTTAGAGGACCGGCTGTGCACAGCAGTTATATTTAGATATGAGTTCACTGTTCTGTTGCTCTGAGACAGACTGTAGCATGAAGCAGTTAGGTCACAGCTGTGTAATTAAACGCTCAGTTTCCAGTTTTACACACAGAACTGAAGCTAACGCAGCTTCTCTGGACTCTCCCTTCATGAAGCGTAGATCGTTTTCTGCTTCACAGACGTGTTGAATCAACTTCATGGTCAGTCTGGAGGCTGCACTTTGAGCTGCTGTTGAATCTCACTGTGATATACTCAGTGGTGACCCTTGACTCTGGGGGGCCCCCAGGCAAATAAACCCATAGAAGCCCCCCCCCACATGCAGACTATCGTTGGATGCTCCAATTTACAGACATCCCCTAGACGCCTCACATGCAGGCTATTAGTAGACACTACAATTTACAGATGTCTCCTAAACGCCTCACCTGCAGACTATTATTAGATGCAACATTTACAGATGTCCCATAACGCCTCACATGAAGAATACTGTTAGACGCTGAAATATACAGATGTTCCCTAAACACCTCACATACAGGGGATCAGTAGACACTAGCTACAGCACACGTCATCAGGGGCCCCACAGGGGGGTTTGGGGGCAGCAGCAGTGAACTGTTCATTCGGAGTCGGAGTCATTGCAAACTGTGCAACTGCACTGGCCCATCACACACGACGACGCAGCAGCTGGTTAGCCAGCGTTTAATGCTAAGATCAACGCTAACTGTGGTGCTTTGTTTGTGTCACTACAGTTTACTACCAGTCTTATTCACGCAGCTGTATGTGAACATCAGACTCGCCGCCACGGCGTACTGACCACTGAATCATCAGAGAAGTCGATCTCATCCAGGTCCAGGTATTCAGGAGCCTCCATCTTCACACCACATCATCAGCCTCACGCCCAGCTGCAAACAAGTCACACCACAACATCTGTATTATCACAAACACACTTTAATAAAAGCCACAATGTTCTGCTGCGTCCTGAAACACTCATATGATTTTTGGGTCTTAACGTTGCAGTGATATGATCAGCAGGAATAAAACACAGGAAGTAGCTGCAGGAAACTCAGTCCGGTCCTGTTGAAAACGTGTGTTTTCTGTGTTATTGTTCAACTCTCTGTGACTGAAGACAAACTGCAGCTCTGTGAATAAAGAGGAAACTGTGGAAATGACAGAATCCACTTCTACGTTACGGAGGATTTTCCCTCTCGACAAAGAATCTGAATCTAAAACGAGCTGTTTGAACAACGTCAAATCCTGTTTCTGCAGGTTTTAAAGTGTTTAAAGCGCCTGAGCCGTGGAGATCAAAGGCAACAAACAGCGGGATAATCAGCGCTAATCAGAGACCGTGAAGATTTAAAGACACAGCACGCAACCTGGATCAACACGAGACCAGGACCCGACCCTGGTGACCAAAACTAAACTCTGATGACAAATGCTTCATATTTTATGACTCTGGATAAACAGGGATGAAACCTGAAGCTAGTCTGAGTGGAGGAGGGAAACGACCACGAGGAGGTGATTGTAGTTATTGTTTATTTACTTTCTGTAAGACTGTTTAGTCTATAAAACCTGAACGCCCATCACAGGTCGTCCACGCCCAAAGAGATGTTTCCAAACCACGGACTCGTCTGAAAGAGATTCAATTTATATGACAATAAAACTTTGGAGAATCTGGAACTTATGACTGGATATGACATCTCGACTGAAACGTGTTCTTCATCTTCTTCACCAATATTTGGATTGAAAATCTAATTTAAACCATAAAGTTTCAGGTTTTAGACATTAAAGTTCCTCCAGTGTAAAGGTCTGTGTCCATGTGTAGTGTGATTATAGATCAGGTCTAGCTTCTATATTAATACTGTGAAAGTATCAAAGCCTCAGTCCACAGAGAAATGCACACAGCCTGTATTCAGAAACTGAGCCTTAAAACCAGCCGTCAGGACTTCTGGAACTTTGTGATGTCACAACAAAGCAGTCACCAAGCCCCGCCCACCTGGACCCACCATCCAAACCTTGCAGGATTTGGTTTCTCTGAGTGTTTTACCTGAAATCTGCTATATTTTTATTGGATCACCCAGAAAACAGTGAGCCAATCAGAAGAGAGGCTCAGAGCCTCCTCTCTTCTGATTGGCTCACCGACCTGTTGTTACTAGAGCTCCAGAGAGAAGCCTGAGAGAGGAGATGTAAAACTACACTGAGATGGTTTTTATATCTTCTGATGGTTCAACACTTCAAGTAAAACACAGAAGAAGAAGAAAATATGAAGCTTTAAATAAATTCTAAGATTTTTGTTTATATTTTCAAATGAATAAAAGTTGAATTTATGGTTCAATAAGCAACAGAAGGCTGAGCTTCCATGTACGAGCTGTTTTCAGACTGTGTGGGAGTGACCGCAGAACTGAACCGGTCAAAATAAAAACCTCTGATTGCAGCTTTGAGAAACAGTGGAGGCCTGACATCCTTGATAACAACAGTTTAGGCCTGAAACCCGACATCAAAAATAAGACTGGATCAAAAAAAAAAGGAAGGAGGAGGAGGAGGACGTCTGTTCTCTCTGTTTATGTGAACAGCTGACGAGTCCAAATCTTTCCAGGCGGCGAGACACAAAAACAATCTGAGATGAAACGTTGTTTTGGAGGAAAGAGAAGACCCCACTGTGTGTGTCTTCACTCGTCCCTCAGGTGAAGTCACCAGAAATCACCGGAGAAGAAGAAGTCAGTGTGGCGTCACACGTTGTTTCCTGTTTGTTGAACTGGTGTTAAAAATAGAAATGGAGGAGCTGGACCTAGTCGTTGTCTCACAACCACGAGGATCAGCGGCTGCACGCAGCGTCTCTGGAGTCTGAGCTTCTGAGCGAACAGACCATCTTTACTGGTCCTACTGGTTCCTGGAAACAGACTCCCAATCAGAGACCAATTACACTCAATCTAATTCAACCTGTTATCTTTGTTTAACATAGTTCTTCAGACCTGTTTAGAGTTCTATTTAAAGTGTCTCTAATCTAACAGCTTCTACTGTTACCGACATTTTCTCCCTTAAAATGATCAAAACTGAACATTTGAAATGATCCGAGCAACAACCTGCACGTCGTCTCCTGATCAGCAGCTTTACTGAACCCAGCAAAAACCATCATCATCATCATCATCATCATCATCATCACTTTTATATTTTTGTCATTGTAAATCAAATGAAAACTCATTCCTCAATCACAATATATCACATCGTTCTGTATCGTTCAGTAGAACAAAACCTTAATTTAAGGAAACATATAAATAAAACCCTTGAATGTGAAATGTCGTCTATATAAATAGTAAAAAAAAAAAAGATTTAAATCAGGATCCGTTGGATCAAATAAGTAGAAAGTAACTGACTTTTACTTAAAGCTGCACAATCAATTGAAATATCATCAAAATTGCAACATGTCCTCGTGCAATGTCCATCCAGTGTTTGATGAAGGTAAAAATGTGTCACATTGTTGTGTATTGTTATAGTGTGTATTGTTATATAGTTACAGGTATGTGAGGGAAAGGTGAGCGTCACACCTGAGAGACAGAGAATTAAAACAGTGGAGCAGAGTGTCTGGAGAAGTCTCCAGATACAAAGCTGTTTGATCTAATTCATGATTTAATATAAGATCTCCACTTATTAATTATATTAAATTATATTAAACGTTATATTATGATGTTTCCAGAATCAGGAAGAAACCAGCTCAGTCACATTCAGAGTAACAACAGGTTCATTCAAATAAATAAACTGCTGATTAACGAGTCGTTTCTATTCGGAAACAGAACTTTTTAACTTCTACCCTGAAAATATTTACAGTCTAAACTTGTTCTCTCTCTCTCTCTCTCTCTCTCCACCTGAACCACCTGAACCACCTGTGCTGTCATCTCACAGTTTGAGGCTGTGATTCAGATTACATGGAAACCTGATTACAGGCATTAAGACCTGCAGACTGGACGGAGGCCAGTTTAAATCTGATTAGCGTGGCGTGGACGGTGCTGCGGGTTCACTCGGTCATCTTCACTGCGTATCAGTGTCATGGCATTAAACTCTGAGTCACATTTCATCTGCAGCTGCATGAAGAAACTCAGATGGTTGTGAAACAAAGTGTTTTCATTGTAAACACGGTTTATATCGAGTTATTTAGAAAACCTTCACATCCAGGTTTAAAGGGCCAGACGATCATTTTAAATAACTTTTAAAATATTTAAATAACAACATGATGGTTTTTCACCTGAGCCGCAGACCACCTTCATTAGAAACGACACGTCTATAAGATAAATAATTATCACGAATGGGAAAAGCGCAGAGGTGTAAATGCCACATAGCTAAGGGGCGTGGTTATTGATGAGGCTCTTGGATCGTGATTGGTCAGGATCAGGAAATGATCATAGAGTTTTAATATTTCTCTACATTGTGTCTCCAAACAAACATCTTAAGGCTAAGTGTGTTTAAAATGAATAAAATGAATTCTCTTTGTTTCTGTTTGACATGTTTGTCGTGTTACTGACGTGACATGTGACACAGTTTACTGCTCTGAATGGTCTGTTTGATCAATAAATGAACATTTATTTACTGTATCGCCTTGTTTGAACTGTATGTGAAGCTTTAATGTGACAGACTGAGCAGTGAAAGCAATAAAGAAAAAGTACAGATTCAGGATGTTACTGGTGATGGAAGAAAGTAAGTCACTTACAACTTACACATATAGATACTTTATTTATCCACCAGGGGAAACTCAGGATATGTAATATATATATTATATAAGGTGTATATGATATGATTTAAGGCTGGACTTACTATCACTTTGATTTTCTGGATTAATTGATAATAAGTGTCAGAGAACAGTGAAAGAATGTCCGTCCCAGTTTCTCACAGGTGAAGGTGACGCCTTAAAATGAGTCTTTTAGTTTGATCAATGCTACGAAACCCAAAAAACATTCAGAATATCATAAAAAAAACAGAACATATCCACCATTAAGAAGCAGGAACCAACTAATAAATCAATTAATCGACTAATCATTGCCACCTCTTTATAATATGTGTGTATGAGTTTGTGATTTTGCTGAATTTCTTCTTTATAATTATCTGGTTTTAATTGATCAAAAATTAGTTGGAACATTAAATCGCACTGCAAGAAAAATTACTGAAGCCTGATGAAAGTAAAAATTTAAAATAAACATTGACAACCAACACAGAGTGATCTCTCTTTTTATATCTCTATAATTAAAAGGATGTATTTGACACAGACCTAGTTTAACTGTTTAAGAGTTTGTACACAAACAGACTCAGCAGCTAATGAAGCTGCTTTATTAGTCTCTACAGACTGAAAACATTGAAAACACAGCAGACTTTCAGTCGGTTTGTTCTCTCCTCGTTCCTTGCTCCAGTGATGTTAATCCGCTCATACCCGCCTCACGTAGCAGCAGTGAGGCTTAATTAGCCCAAGCTTAGCTCCGGAGAAGCTAACGTGGAAGCTAGGGTGCACTAACGTTAGCCAGGCAGCTGACGAAAATTGGGTCAGAACAGAAAGCTCAGGTCAAAAACAAGCCCGGGTCCGGCACGAGGCGCGGGTCCCTCCTTGACAAAGGGAGAGTTTTATTGTTACCCGTTACCTTGTCGAACGCAGGAGGCGGCCGTAGGAGAAGTGGTGCTGTCTGGGGATGAAACAGGCTAGCGGGAAGCGCTAGCCAGGAATCCTTGGATCCAGCTGTTTTTTTTTGCTTCTGTCGCCTCGCTGTCTTGAAAAAGCACAAGACTTTGAACAATGGGCAGCACAGAGGGCGGAGCGGAGGACGCGGCTCACTCCCGAACATGAGTACCAGGTTAATCCGGAGAACTACCACTATTCACCTTTACCTTTACAACAACAAACAAGCT